TATATGTGTATACTCAATATTCAATTTAAGGGAAATTACCCAAGACTCTCTCTCTCTCTTACTTTAACATGGTATCAAATCCAATAATTTTTTTTTCTCTGCGTTCTTTTGCCAAATCTTGGACCTGGTGCTTTGCAGCCATTTAACGCCTTTTTAGCGTTCCTCTGCCGGAGTTTTGCATTGCCGCTTTGCGGCCTCTTAACACGTTTCGCGTTCTCGTATTCAAGATCGTCTCTTGGTCTCAGATTAACGGCATCGCCATTTCAAGACCATCTATTGGTCTCAAATTTACGGCATCGTCATTTCAAGACCACCTCTCAGTCTCAAATTAACAGCATCGCCGTTTTAAGCCGTCTCTCGGCCTCAATCGAATAATATTGTCGTTTCACAGTCAGTAACGACATCACCGTTTCAATCCATCTCAACGCTCAACATCAGCGCTGATCCGTTGTGGGTCTCCGGCGTGAGCATCAGATCTGGCCGATCTTCGGGTCACATTGGTTGCCAACTGTTTCTTTTTTCTCAGATTTGACAATTTTAACCTTCGGGTTTCTACATTAAACTTTGGGTTCTCCTTTAACCTTCGGGTTTCACTTTAAACCTTTGGGTTCTGTTCAATGATTATTATCTTGAACTTTAGATTGTTGTTATTATGGCTTCTTCACTGGCTCGGTCTAAGCCTTTTTTTACCTATTGTAAGAAGGAGGAACACCGCTTTGAGACATGTTTCCAGCTTCATCCTGAGCTACGTTTCTCAGAAGGTGGTCGTAGTCAATGATCCCCTCAGTCTCGATCCTCTAGTGCATCAGGATTACTGGTCAATGTTATGCTATCTACCACTTCAGACCCTATTATTCAAGCTATTGCAGATGTTCGCCGTCAAATTAAAACTCTTCAGGCTATTACAGATATTCACCGTCAAATTGGGACTCTTCAAGCTATTGTAGATATTAGCCATCAAATTACGGCTCTTCAGCATACCACCTCTCCACCTGCTGCACAACTCTCTGATATTCACCGTTAAATTGATACTCTTCAACATAGAGCCTCTACATCTACTGTACAACTATCTGGTATGCATCTTGTTGGTTCTTCAGCCAACCCTTCAGTCTCTGGTATGAATGATCTCTGGATTTCTGTTCCTTTCATATGACTCATGATGCCTCCCTCTTATCTTCTGTCTTCACTTCCTCTTCTCTTCCCCCTATTTACATGGATGCTAGACAACCTTTGTATATCACTCAGTATGGCTCTATCACCCCACAAACTAATCCATTTGGTCGTCTAACTCTTGTCCCCGTCTATGTGGATCCTCAGTTGTGTTTGAATTTAATTTCTATTAGCTCCTTATGTATGGATGACCTACTTGTCTCATTTCTTCTGATACTTGTATTGTGCAGGATCTACAGATGAGAAAGACTATTGGGGCCGATCGGAGGAGGCACAAATTGTATTTTATGGAATATCTTTATCTTCCAGAGTCCGTACATCCACGTTCTTTTGTTGCTTCTGTAAGTCCAAAATCTTCTACTTTACTTTCTGCAGATTTGTGACATAGGCGACTTAGTCATATGTCCCATAAAAGGCTGGAGAGTCTTATCCAGTCCGGAGTACTTGGTTCTGTATCCTCTCGTTCTCATATTGCGTCATGTATTGGTTGTAAATTGGCTAAATTCACTGCTCTACTATTTCTAACAAATACATATGTTTCCACTTCCTTATTTGATTTTGTTCATTCCGATATCTGGGAGCCAGCTCCTCTGCCTTTTTCATTTGGCTACTTATATTATGTTAGTTTTATCGATGATTTCTCTCGTTATACATGGGTCTACCTACTTAAAAATCTCTCTGATGTACTTGCTGTTTATCAAGCCTTCACTGCTATGATTTTCACTCAATGGCAAGCTCGTATTAAAGTTTTTAGTTCTGACTGTGCTAAGGAGTACCTATCCTCTACCATGCGCTCTATCATGTCCTCTCATGGGACTATCTTTCAATAGTCATGTCCCTACACCCATGAGCAAAATGGTATTGCTGAACAAAAATATCATCATATTCTTGATACCGCTCGATCCATGCTCATTTCTTACTCTGTTCCTCGTCGTTTCTGGGCTGAGACCATTCTCACAGTTGCTCATGCCATTAATACCACTCCATCTAGCTCTCTTTCCGACGTTACTCCTCACAGTCATGTCTATACTCATCGTCCCTGTTATGATCTAGTCCGTGTTTTTAGCTGTCGTTATTTCATTCTTTTGCCCTCTCACGAACGTGATAAATTGTCTCCCATAGTTGTTCTCTATATCTATTTGGGAATTAGTTTAGAATATTGAGGTTATCGTTGTTATGATCCCGCATCTCGTCGAGTTCATATATCTCGACACGTTCAGTTTGAAGAGGATTCTCTATTTTATTCTGCTTCTGATGACTTCAATTTACTCCACACTACTGATCGTGCTTCTCCACCTGCTACATCACCCACTTCCTCACCTCAGTTTTCCTTGCGAGATCTCCCTGAAATCTCTCCATCTCCTTCTGTTGACTCTCCCTCACCCGAGCTTTCTCTTCCACCATCTGATCCCTATCCCGTGGACACGACACCCACTCCAGAAAATACTGTTGACCTCCACGCACCTGAACCAGCATCTCCCCCGCCCGAGGTTCCTCTTGCTCTTCGTCGAGGCAAACGCCCATATGTCATGCCTACACGGTATGCTTCGGTTACTTTCTATTCACTTATCTTTTATAACTTTCTTACTATCATTCATACTATAATTGAGCCAAAATCCTTCCAAGAGGCCATTCAATTTTCAGAGTGTCGATAGGCTATGGCTAAGGAAATTTAAACCTTTCAGCAAACACATACCTGGGATGTTGTTCCATGTCCCCTTGACATCTCTCTAGTTGACAGTAAATAGGTTTATAAGGTCAAGTATCATCCTGATAACACCATTGAACGTTAGAAAGCTCATTTAGTGGGTCGAGGTTTTACTCAGCAATAAGTTGCTCAGATGCCCACCGTTCGTACTCTCCTTGCAGTTGTTGCTGGTCATCATTGGTCCTTATACCAGATGGATGTCAAAAATGCTTTTCTCCATAGCTTTTTATCTGAGACAGTATATATACAATCGTCTCTAGGGTCTAATATTTCTCCGAGACATGTATGTCTCCTTCGCTATGCTGTTTATGGTCTCAAGCGGGCACCCCACACTTAGTTTGAGTGTTTTCGCGATGTCATGCTCAAGACGGGTTTTATGGAAAGTCATCAAGATGCTTCTCTGTTTGTTCCAACTACATCGCGTGGTAAAGTTTTATTACTCATCTATGTAGATGATATGATCATTACAGGTGATGATGTGGTTGGTATACAGTATGCAAAATCTCAGTTGTAACAACAATTCTACATGAAGGATCTTAGATCTCTTCGGTATTTTCTTGATCTAGAAATTTCTCAAGGCCTCCGGGTGTACTACTGTCTCAACAGAAGTATCTCTCAGATATTCTAGATTGAGCTGCGCTAACTGACGATGCAACTGTCGATACTCCACTCCAACAGAATGTCAAACTTTGCTCTACTGATGGCGAGCCTCTATCTGATCCTACCCGATATCGACATCTTGTTGGCCAGTTAGTCTATCTGTGCATCTTTCAACCAAATATCTCTTATGTTATTGGCATTGTCAGTCAATTTGTTAGTACCCCACGTTCTGTACACTACGCTACCTTATTACATATTCTTCGGTATCTCCGGGGTACTAGCACTCGCTCTTTTTTATTTCCTGCTACATCTAAGTTAGAGCTTTATGCATATTCTAATACTGATTGGGCTGGTGATCCCACTACCAAAAAGTCTATCACAGGTTATTGTATTTTTAGTGATTCTCTTATTTCCTGGCGGAGTAAGAAACAAGATGTTATTGCTTTTTTCAAAACCGAGGCAGAGTATCGTGTAATGTCCACAACAGCTAAAGATATTATTCATTTTTGTCGTCTTCTTAGTGATTTCGGTATTTCTGTTACGACTCCTACTCCTCTCTACTGTGATAATTAGAGTGTCATTCAGATTGCTAATAATCTAGAATTTCATGAGCAGACCAAACATATTGAGATCGACGCTTATTTTATCCGTCAACAAGTTATTAAGGATAAGACAATTCTACTTCCACATGTCTCATCCGCTGATGAGCTTGCAGATTTCTTCACAAAGGCCTTACCTGTTCATCGGTTCCAGTTTCTTGTACGCAAACTCACTTTGTTTGATCCAACATGAGTTTGAGGGGGGTTATTGATAATAGTGTATTGTAGTGGGTTTTAGTCCCATATTGGTTGTGAGAACACACCTCACCCTCCTCTACTTGTATAAATATAAGTGTACACTCAATATTCAATTTAAGAGAAATTTACCTAAGACACACTCTCTCTCTCTTACTTTAACATACTAAAATGTCATTCTTAATTATTTAATTTTTGTAGGATGTTGATCTTTTTGCTTTATAGTTCATTAACTAGTCCTTTACGTGTACTATATATGTGGCGGAGAGTAAATTTAAATCTTTAAATAAATCCATAGTGGACTCTCTATTTGGATTCAAATTTTCTTCGCTATACCAAAAAGTAGTGGAGCGACAACTACTATATCACTCTTAATGTCCCAACCGCTGCACCAAACTCCATATATGTGTGAGAGTTGAATAATATATTTTTATATTAATTACAACTGTTATTATGTGGATCATTGTGATTTTACTTTGAGTATATATTAGGAAAAGAATGTGATTCATGAGGGTATAATGAGTGATAGATTTGAAATGAAGCATAATTATCCACTTGACAAATTTATAATTGTGATCAATATAGTAATTTCTTTACTATGTTTTAATAGGGAAGAGGATCCAAATTCCTCTATTTAATCAATCTCGGTAAAACTAAATCTAGCCTAATAGAGTGATTGGTTAAAAAAGATTCTCTCCCTCTCCATTAATATCTATATGCTTCCCACCCACTCTTTCATTCAATCAAAACATTTCTATCCCCTATCGGGAACAATTTTCTTACAAACTCTAAATTTATAAAAGAAGAGATCAACAAACTTACTTTTTCTTTTACATTCAACCCCTTCCTTTTTTATCACCATCATCTTCATCATCATCTTCTTCATAGGATATTTACTAGTCTTCTCAAAAAACCAGTGCTTCTTCCTTTTGGATCGGAAAAAATGTCGGCTCAAATTGCAGCAGAGCATGTCTGTTATGTCCAGTGCAACTTCTGCAACACAATCCTCGTGGTCTCTCTCTCTCTCTCTCTCGCCCCACACACGCACAGACATCTGAAAGCTGATAACCCAAGAATTTATCTTGAAGTTTTAAAGATTGTGTTTCCTTTTCCTTTTTCAAACAAAGACTGCAGTCTGAGTTTATCTTGAATTTTAACTTGATATGGAAAACATAGAGCTAATTAGTTTTTTACCCCTCTACTTTTTTATTTTTATTTTTATTTTTTTGGCTAAGTAACTTATACATAGCTAGTTGCTCCCTCAAAAAAATTATAGTTTATATAGTTGTTGACAAGAGTTTTATTTTAAGCTTTTATTATCGGTAAATAGTTCTTTGTAAAACAACCAAAATATATGATAGTGAAGTCATAATTCTGTACCTAGTTATATATTTATTATGCATAAAATTTTTCTCAAAAAAAAAATGCAAGATATATAGAATATCATGAAACTGACGAATCCTTATGTTAAGTCATGCACTAGAGTTGTTAATCTTCCTAAAAATGTAGCATTTACAAGAAAGACGAATTCGATGAATTTTTAGCTATGTTTTTCAAATACCTACACTCTCTGCTGCAGGAACTATGATGGGTTACATTCACTGGTATGCAAGCACATTTTTTCATTCTTCAGTTTTATTGGCTCGAGAAGGAAAGGGCTTTAAGTGAAAGATATAGTGCTTAGTAGCAAATACACATATTATTATCCGGTGGATAACAAATAAATTAAATCCTTGAAAAAGAAGGCAAGTAATATATTTGTAATAGGGAAAAAAATCTTGTATTCAAGGATATGTTGTAGATTTAAGGGTATGGCATAATTCTTGGGGTTGATCTTTATGATGTTCATTGATTTGGGGCTTCAAGTGTGTTTTTATAAGCTACGTTATTTCATGTTTAGAAATTCTTGACATGCTGTGTTCCATAGGGATATTTCTCCTTTTTCTTTATTCCTTTCAATGTTTCATTATCTTCTCTTTCATGAACTAAAAGAAAATGGAAAATATCATATCTTATTCCTAGAAGCTTATAATTAAGTCCCTTTGAATATGGGCACTAAATCTTTAAGCCATGAAGACAACTATGTATAAATCTCCGTTCACGGTTTTTTTAATTGCTTCAAAATATACAAATAAACTCAAATAAGCCTCTGGCTCAATGAAAATATTTGGGGTTCTAAAACTCAAGATCAGGCAGGCTATGTCCTTTGTCCAAAATGATACTTTTCATTATCTTTTCTTTCTCGTATTTTCTTTCTTCCTTTTCTATTATTTATGAGAGAGAAACAAAGGAAAAGATAACACAAATCTTATGGCAGTACTATTTTCTTCCCTCTTTAGCTCAAAAGTTTTTGTTCTATAGTTAACTAATGAGAACAAAATTTCTAAATTTAGCATTAATATTCGGTATTATCGTGCATAATGTTCCTATATAATACAATGCATATGAAAGTTGACATGGATTTAAAGTTGTTTCTCAATTTTTATCATTTATTCAACTAGGTTAATGTGCCGGGGATGAATCTGTTCAACAATATTGTGACTGTAAGGTGTGGGCATTGTGCTAATCTTCTATCGGTGAACATGGGAGCTTTGCTGCAAGCGTTTCCTCTTCAGGAGTTTCAGGTTCATATACTCTTCTACATTAATCTGGTGTCTTTTTTTATGAAATTTATATTTAAAAAAAAAGTCTCGAGCTACTTTTTCAAATTAATGCAAGTCCACAGTCATCTAGGGTTTGGACTTGTAACTACATGCATGGCTAGTGAAGAGCTTGGCAGTTAGTTTCCAGATATGTTGCTTGATGTTTGATAAATTTTGCAGTTAAATTTCATACAGTGGCTGATGTCTTAAAAATTGTTAATAATTCATATTATTTGATAAGTTATCTTTACTTTTATAGAATTTACTTGAGTGATATTAAATTTACTTACTAGAGATAATGAATCTCAATTTAAGATGGTAATGTACAGAATTTTTTTTTTTTTTTAGGAAAATGTACAGAATTTTTTTTGTTATAGAGTGTCATTAATGCACAATTTCATGAAGAATAAAAAGAAATGTAATTCTAATTAGTCATCCAAGATGTATATGAAGCTAAATTTATATGATGATTAGAGTTTCTTGTATAATCGAAAAGAAATTTCAGAATCACCAAATAGCATCTCAAGTCAGCAGCGGGGACTGTGGTTCTTCTTCCAAATGCAATAGCACATCAGCCATGTTCATGCAGGCACATGATCAACAACAAATGTTACCAATTCACCGTAAGTTTTCGACAAGCTTCTTGTTTATATACTAATGATTTGACTAATAATATATACAATTAATACACACACTTGATGAGGACGTAGCTAGGTATTCAAAATATATGGCTTTCATAATTAAAAAAAAGAGTAAATTTTGTATTCGAAGGGTTGCGGATATTTGTATGTGTACTATATGTGTGTGTAATTCTGCATTGAAACCTTCCGCCATTATTTTTTTTAATAATACTTTTCCTCAGCTCCTGAGAAGAGACAACGCGTTCCTTCAGCTTATAACAGATTTATCAAGTAAGATCTAAAACCTTCTATATAATTTTTGGTAATATTCCTGCAAAAAGATATATATTCATTATATTAGCTATGAGATTCCAATTAGTACTCATAAAAAGTTTAAATAATATAGCTTTTTCTCTCTTGTTCTACAGGGAGGAAATTCAAAGGATTAAGGCTTACAACCCAGACATTAGCCATAGAGAAGCATTCAGTGCTGCAGCAAAGAATGTAAGTTTAAAATATTAGACAAGCTTCATTAATACTAATAATAATATAAATAGATAAAGGGGGTGGAAGTTATAGCTGCATCTATAAGTCCAATATTGAAAATGATTCTTGAGTAATATTAATTAATCACCAAGCATATGAAGAATATTTCTATACCACTTTTATATTATGGTTAATCTAGGAACACTCAAATATAAAAATTATATACACATTCATTGTGGATCAGGTTTTATATGTTACTTAATTTCAGAACATATTGCGCTTGATCAAGCATTATCCTTAGTCTCGTTGAGTTTAATTAAGCTCATAAAATCAATAACCTTATGGGTACCAAATTTTTCTAGACTAACATTAATATTCTACAGAAGAAGAAAGTTGATATCTTCTTTGAGGAAAGTTGCACTCTAACTCAATGGAACACATAAAACCAAATAGCTCATTAGGTAAGAATATATGCTCAAAATATCTACTGTATAGAATAATTTTCTGCTCAAATTCTATCTATTTAAGGACCAAGGAGTTAGATCAAATGAACCTTCCTACTCACATAATTAATCATCTGAAATGATATGCCCATGTGATTTAAACCATTTAATTATAACTGATTTACATATTTTCCTCGTGTATTATTTCTTTCATATATAGGTTAAAACATAATTGCCAATCCAATGCACTTCATGCTATAGCTTGGACTAACTAAATTAAGCCAGTTTGAATATAGATTCATCACAAAAGTTTGACTCATCACATAAATTTGCTGAAAATCTCACAAACACACGTGTGTGTGTGTGTATGATATGCATAAATATTCTTTTCAAGCTAATGTAGTTCCGAGCATGAATTTTCCCCTCATGTCCATTTTCTTCTCATTTTTCAGTGGGCACATTTTCCTCACATCCAATTTGGCCTTGGTCTCAATGCAAATAACCAGTCAAAGCTTGACGAGACGATTGCTGCTGTACACGGTGGTGGGCAGAAGTCTCAGAGTTTATACTGAGAATACGGATATATACGTATGCCAATCAAATCCATGCTACTGTATTATATATATATATCCTTTAATTGAAACTTGAATTTTTCAAGTCGAAATACCAAGACCTAGTTCACTTCTACAAGATGACGATATTTACTGATGTATCTTCAAATAAATTGATATCTAATTAGCTAGCATGCATGTTTGTTGATCTCTTACACAGTGAATTATATATCATGTCTTTTGTCAATTAAAATTGCTTGACTAACTTACGTTGTAAAGTTTTAAGTCTTCTTTTCCTAACAAGTACTCTTTAATTAGTCAAGAAGTTTAAATTTGGCAAGTCCATGGACCTAGGCCCCTGTTGAATCTACTAGATAGCTATCTAGAGCCTTTTTGAAATGGAATGCTGCCTACTTCATATTGGCATCCTTCATTTCTGTAGTCATTTATTGCTAGCAATTTATTGTCATGACTCTATGTATATCTAGTATAGATCACGACTTTTCTCATGTGTCTATGATTAGCTAGCACTGCAGAAAACTAGTAACAATAAATAATTAGCAAGCAATTTTTTGCAAGAAAAACTAGCAATTTCCTCAGGAATACCTTTGACAAGAAATATATATAATTTAGAATTGAACTCTTTGTCTTAGGAGTTGACACAATCAATCATGCACTACCACCTAATAGATAGAATAGGAAGAAGAGATAATTACCAATTAGTCGAAACCAAATGTCAATGAATTATGCGTAATAGCTTGTTAGAACAAAAAAGAAAAATAATGCAGGGAAGATTCCTAGGAAACTTTGCTATAGAAAATGGATTCGAGTCGCTATGCGTCCTAAAACGTTGAACTTAAAGCAAGATTCAACCTATTATAATGTAAGGATGCCAAAGCTGAATTGCTTCTAAAAACAACAACATTAAGTGTACTGGTGTGCACCAACCAAACGCTACATAATCTCCTTGATCAAGTTTAGACACTAGGTGACCTAACGTAAGATCCATTACACTCACACAACTCACTACACCATTAACTGATCTATTTAATGAGCCCACTAAATAGATCAGTTCAAAAGTCCAAAGTGCACATACAAGACACACACTGCATCATCATAGCACTTCATCCCAATTAGCCTCAATCCACGACCCAAACCTAAGTCCGAGTCCAAGTCAGAGTTTATATACTTATGAATAATTATGCCTTGAACCTGTGACCTGTGAACTATGACTTATTCAAAAAGATTTTAACTAATGAGCTACAGTGTATTTTTGTTATAAAAATATATACTATAATATATACGTTAGTTTGAAACTTAGCCCATTGTTCAGTTCATTTACCAAAAAAAAAAAAAAAAACTTAGCCCATATTAATTTAGATTTTTTTTTACAAAAACTTCAACAAGCTTTTCTTTTTGTCCTCCATTACATGACTCATAGCAGTCATGCATGTACTGCTGGCTGATTATCTCACCAAACCTAGTGAATGTTAAATTTCTAAAATGACTCTCTTAACTTAATGTTAATGCACGCAGCATAGCTCTCAGTGGTTCTTTTCTAACTTAACAATATTTAAACTATATCAAACGGTACATGCAAATTATATTCAAACTATGTTTTGACGCTGTTGTCACCTTATCCAATCTAAGAATACAAATTCTATCAGAACATTTCTCATGCGATAAGTATTAAGTATATTGTCCATCCATTTGTAGGGTTTAAAACGCAACTGACAATTTATTAGAGTAAACTTTCTATTAGCACCCCAACCATGTGGGGGTTCTGAACCATACAAAGGGGCAGTTAGATTACTAAACTGCCTCCATGAATCTACATCTAACGGCTCAGACTGAGAGGATGTGCACACAATTTATTAATACTACTGTGACAATTAAAATCTCAACTCTCCCAATTGATCCGAAGACGAGTATAAATTGGCATAGAAAAGGTTCTGATAGAATTCTTTTCATTGGATCCCCATAATAATATGATAACACGTACAGTTTAGATCTTTGCGAGAATGTAAATATATTATGCATGCATGTGAGATGCATACAGGCTTCTCTCCCTTTGAGAGAGAGAGAGAGAGAGAGAGAGAGAGAGAGAGGGAGAGGAATGAAGCATCAAATCTTGTGACCCTTGACACGAGAAATCAGAAAGAGAGAGAGTGGGCAACGTGATTCCATTTCTTTTGCGCTTTTGTGAACTAGAAGACAAAAGACTGGTGAATGCAACGTTCAAAATTGTGAGGACTTATCTACAAAAGTATCTTCAATTCACGGTGGCTTTCACGATTCCGGTGCATGATGCTCGGCAGCCAACAGCTTTTACCGCCCGGTGATTATATGCAGCGGGAAAATGATTTAAGGACCCAAAATATGGGATCAATGGAGGGGACAGGTGAGGTGTTCCCTCTTTATTGCATAATGAGTTGACCATGCCAACTCATTATGCAATATAAGGAGGGGACACCTCACATGTCCCCTCCCTTGGTCCCATATTTTAGGTCCCCGTAACAGCACTCGTGGGTTGGATTTAATTATCACGAACACAACAAATTAAGTTAAATTTTTTACAGTGGAAATGCTTCATCATGAGAGAGAACTTGGACGAGCAAGCAAATTTTACTTGATGTGTGAAAATAAATTAACCAAATATGGGAATGGGTTTAATACACCAATCTAACTAAATGTCAATCTTATCCTAAATATGTTTTATTTCGAACAATAAAAGAGGTGATTTAATTAACTAGAACTAGTTTAGTGATCAAAATTTAGCCTACAAAAACTGACTCAACACTGCTCCAACTCTTTGCCAAAAAAAAAAAAAAACTCAACATTGGGGCACCATCAATTTTCAAGAGTTGCCAGCTGACTCACCTAGATTGGTCATCCAAAGAAGAAAACTTCTATGGTTAATTAGTTCAACACATGAGATTGAGAAAATCAGCATAATGATCAAAGGATTTGTTTTAGCAAAGGGTTAATTGTGGATAGACCCTATGAGAAAATATTTCTAACTTTTACCCTCCAGGTCAATTTGGCAAAAAGTAATTTCCTCATTCTCCACTATAAAAAATTATGGAGATACAATTATTTTTTATCATAGTTGTTGATTTTTTATGGGTTGGTTGTGATTTGTGAATGTAAATTACGAAATCGTGCAATTGATAAGGGATATGGTGGGTGCTAGATTTAGAATAAATCACATCAGCTATTAGATAAACCAACGATTGTGATAAAATTAGTGATTTCTCTGCTATTTTTTGATAAGGGAGAGTTCCTAACCATGTTGGTTTTTTCCTTGTTGGTGTTAGTTAGATTCAGTTAGTGATTTGAGGTATAAAACTAGCCCAGGATTTCTCTTCGCTTTACGTGATAAGCAAGTAGAATAAAGAAAACCTCTCCAATAATATTAAGGATAAGCGTTTAGTGTCATCTTCAACTTTAGAGATGTAACTCCACTACTACTGTTCAATGCTGTTGAAAAAAAAAAGCGCAAGTATGAAATGTCACGTCAATGAATTGCCAAGCCAAGTCCCTTCCACTTTTGTGTGCGCGTGTGCAACTGCCATGCATGCCTGCATTTTGTTTCTTGCCTATGAGCATCTTGCTCTTTACTTGGGTACATTTGGTTGAGGATTCGAAACAATCAAATCGGACCATTACCTTTCCGGACCTTATGTTTGAGAATAGAAAAGTAGAAAAAATCACAGTAAATAAAAGATAAAAAAAAACTTACAGGAAAGTAAACAAAGAAAGAACATACCAGATTTAACGAGGTTCGGCAATCGTGCCTACGTCCTCAAGAACCACACCATACAATTCTTTGATTAATATTAAAAAAATTACAATGCCCACAAATAGGATCTTATCTCTCTAAGATTTCTCTAAAGAATTCTCTCAATTTCTGATGTCTAATCTCTTCTAAGGCATTCCATATATATAGAAAACCTAAAATCAAAACAGACTAGGAATTCTAAAATAAAAAAACAAAACAGATTAGGAATCCTAATAACCTGTTACCAAAACAGATTAAGAATCATGTTACCAAAACATATTAAGAATCTTGTTACCAAAACAGATTAAGAATCCTATTACCAAAACAGATTAGGAAACCTAACATCCAACAATTTGTTTGATTCCAGCTTTGAGTCTACATCCCTTAGAAACAATCTCCTGCTATCACAGGGAAAAAAAAGGAGCGGTTAACGGTGTAAGTTAGAGGGCGATTTTTCACAGCTATCTTACGCCCCCGCTAAGTTCTCTCGTGGCTAAAAAAAGAAAAAAAATGGGGAAAATTCTAGAAATTGGTTTGATATCTTCAAATCCAAGTTCGCATGCTCTCGAGGATCCATCTGATACGTCTTTGGCCGAAGATGATGAAGATTCATGTATTGAGATGGGGTCAACGGGTCCAAAAGGGGAGAAGAAAAAGGTATCGATGATGGAGATCCTTAGATCCAATGTCTTCACTGTTGATTCTCGTCTTCCTCAGGTTACTCCTAAGATATTAGGAGTACAATCTCGAAATCTCAGCAAGTCGTCAATCTCTGGTAAGATGCTCAACTCTGATATTGCTGGTTGTTCTAGTGCTAGATCTTGGGCTGACAAAGTTGAGCTGGGAAGTAATCTGGATGATTCTTTTTCTCGAAAGTTCAAAAATGATTCGGCTAGGAGAAGGTTTTCTGATTCTGTTTCGGTATCGGATCTAGATACGGACACTGTTACATTGAAACCAATCTTTGAAAATTTGAACTCAGATCCAGTTTCTATGTCAGGTGTTGATGCTATTACAAAATCTACTGGTAAATTTTTAGTGGAGAATTCTGGTATATTAAATTTTGAATCAACTGATTTTCCTCAGCTAAATCCTTCGATTGATAAGCCTACTCTTGACAATACTGTTAAGAAAAGTTAGGTCAGTATTTTTACTGACAATAGGAAGCCAGGGAACGGTTTTGATTTGGATTATTTGCCACCTTCTTCTAAAGATATTGTTTCCTTTGAGGAAGATGAATGGAATGAGGGAATGTCTATATGAAATTCTCATTGATTGGTCAGGTCATGGGTCTGAATGTGAAATTTAAAGCGATGGAAATCTTTGTGCAAGGTGTGGGCTCCTATTGCAAATCCAGAAGTTTGTCTTCTTAAACCTGGTGTATTCCTATTCAAATTTAAAAGTAAGGAGGAAATGGGTGATATTCTTGAAAGG